AGTGCTGACAGCAAGTACATATACCAATGTTAGTCTTGCTCTAGAGAGATTCCTTTGCTTTAACATCAATATGATTCATAAGGTTAGTAAATTAGTGAGGAACCAGCCCCGAAAGACTCCGAAAATATTTTAAATAAAGTATTTTTAAATTAGTTAAATTGCTGAAGTTTCTGTGAAGCTTATGAAAATAAGTTATAGAGATATATCAATAAATATGATAAGAAAAGTTTAAAGCCTGAACTATTTGTTGTAAATCTTGAAATAAACTATTGATCTCCACCTTGTACCTTGTACCGACCCATTGTGCTAATACCCTGCAGGGATAACTTTAACGGAGGGACCAAGCATTATCCTCAAGTTTTAAAGTGCCAACATTGGATATCGAAATCAAGCAATAAATATGATAAGAAAAGTTTAATCTTAAGCCTGAACTATTTTGTTGTAAATCTTGAAATCAAATATTGATCTCCACCTTGTACCTTGTACCTATATTTTTAAATTAGTTAAACTGCTGAAGTTTCTGTGAAGCTTATGAAAATAAGTTATAGAGATATATCAATAAATATGATAAGAAAAGTTTAATCTTAAGCCTGAACTATTTTGTTGTAAATCTTGAAATCAAATATTGATCTCCACCTTGTACCTTGTACCGACCCATTGTGCTAATACCCTGCAGGGATAACTTTAACGGAGGGACCAAGCATTATCCTCAAGTTTAATAGTGCCAACATTGGATATCGAAATCAAGCATTTAAGATTAATGACAATCAAGTTTTCTTTGGTCTCCTGTTGTTCTCATTCAACCCCCTTCTCAAATATTTCAGGAGGTTTTCCTCCTTTTTGAAAGGACTGTCAACAGAATTTCCAGAGCCCCTCCATAACCCTTTCAAACCACAACTGAGCAAAAACTAGCAACATATTCCTGTTAAATAGGCAAAATAAGAAATCGACATAATTTTCTCTAAAAATCATGTAACTCCCAAATAATTGGGTCACTTGAGGTTGCGTCGATTAATCTCTCCAAGAAAGTAGAAGGTATGTCACTGAATCTAAAATTGGGTTGGGAAGCGTAATTTCAAGTGACCTTCCATACAAAGATGACCATGCATGATTCACAAAGGTACCCTCACAAGCTTGTTCTGGTCATTTTTAACCAGATATCAATGTGTTTAATGTTGAAAACTGAATATTTCTAATTGTGAGTTCTTGAAAAAAATGACTGCGCATTTCAACTGCAGGAAAACCTATAAAGAAATTATTGAGGTTAAACATTCACCTTAACATAGTTATAAAGCTTACAGCTTGGCAAAAAGGATGTCCAAAAAAATCGGGTTTTTTTTCAAAATTTAGCCGAAATATGATTGAGAGATGTACGAACAAGATGAAAATGAAGAACAAGGAATATAGAAATGTCAAAATATTTGCCTCTGTATTATACAACTATTTAAAGAATATTGTTAAAAATTTTAAATTTAAAAATAATTATGTAAAAAAAATTGAGTTAAGCATTTAAAAATATTTTAAAACTGAAATATCTTCCACATTATTGATCATATAAAGGTTTCAAGAATAGAGTTGTGATAAGGGAATTGTCACCTTTGCTTTTAGGGTCCCTTAAAATTACGATTACAGTCCCTTTAAAAGACCACACATGGCCCCTACCTTATCTTTATTTTTTCTTCTGTTTAGGATCGATGCTTAGGGATCCAGATAGCAGTATTCATGTTCTCCTTGGCCTTAAACTTTGTCAGATTCTTCGAGTTCACATCAGATCCGGTAGGATTGGTCAGTGGTAGGGCTGGGTAGGATTGGTCAGTGGTAGGCCTGGGTAGGATTGGTCAGTGGTAGGCCCGGGTAGGATTGGTCAGTGGTAGGGCTGGGTAGGATTGGTCAGTGGTAGGGCTGGGTAGGATTGTTCAGTGGTAGGGCTGGGTAGGATTGGTCAGTGGTAGGGCTGGGTAGGATTGGTCAGTGGTAGGCCTGGGTAGGATTGGTCAGTCGTAGGGCTGGGTAGGATTGGTCAGTGGTACACCTGGGTAGGATTGGTCAGAGGTAGCCCTGGTTAGGATTGGTGGTTTGTAGGGCTGGTCAAACTCTTAATTTTTTATATCATTTGTTAGCAGGACCGTTAGTTTTTTTTTGAAAATTGATCTACTGTTTCTAAAAATGTTGGTTGTTAAAGGGACTGATGAGGTAAAATAAAAGGGGGTATAGGTTAAAGACTAAAGATTTTAGGAGTTGATCGCGACCAATATTAGTTCTATCTGGTGTCCCTGTCTCATGAAAATGTTTTAAACTGTGTCCGACTTTTACCAAGTCTCAAATACATTCAGTGATATGGATTTGAAGGTTAAACAGATCATATTAAAGGGAGAGACCGGCTAGACATGGTACTGAAAATGCAGTATTGTAGAGACAAATTTTAGGATTCATTTTATACCAATGAGGCTTTTTTACAGTGTGCAATTTTTAGATATGAGTGAAAGTCGTTTGTAATATTTCACCATTTGTTTCAGTCAACAGAAGAAACGGTTTTCATATAACTTAAATAAACAGCAAAGGTAATGATGATAATAAAGTAATCAATTTATGGCTTTTATGGTAAATCTCTTTTGATTTTTATGTTCCTAGACAGGACAGACATATAAATGTTTTGTCCTGGTTATTTATTAAATAATTGAAAGAAACGTTTTTTCCATTCTGACTGAAATAAATGGTGAAATATTTTAAATAGTGGCATGCTCTTATATAAAAAATGTTTCAGTGGTATCAAATAAATAAAAAAAATTTCTCTACAATACTACACTTTCAGCTCAACTACCATGTTTAGCCAGTCCCTGCCTTTAAGCAAATACGGAACGAATCTGAAAACTACGATAACATAGAGGTGCCAAGAAATTCTAGGTACGCTCCCATCATAATTTGAATATAATACTTATAAATTTTAAGATACAATTGAAAACATAATTTTTACGTCTGTATCATGTGACCAGAGTTTCCACCAATGGCAGTGCAGTATCTGGTCACGTGGCTCCGTCTACCATTTTACGTATATATGAGTTTTTGTTAACTTGGACACGGTTTTATTATCAATGAGACAGAGATATCAGATAGAACTAATAGTGTGTATTCATTTTACCTTAACAGTTCCTTAAACGACGGTTGGATGTTAAATTAGAGAAGAATAAATTTACCATATATAATATTTCATGACGATTTTTGACAACATTTTTTAGAAAGTTAATATGTTAGAACACGTTCTCGGTCTTTAGCGTTATATAAATATATATCTTTTAAATAAAACACAGATTTTTTTCCCATTTCATTGCTGTATAAATTCTGGACTGTTCTTGTTTTTATTGAAACATGCGACCAGATGTTTCACTGTTCTCAACCCATATACCATTACCATATGCATAAAACAATTTGGCAAAATTTGTTCACATCTATCAAGCTGAAAAAGTGAATATGTTTAATCATTCTAGTGTAAGCCGTTTTTAAGTTATATAGAGAAAAAACCACATGGGGTACAACCCCCCCCCCCCATCGTGATTTTTTTGGAATTCAAGTACTGCAAAATCTACTTTGTATAAAATGAATGAAACGTTGCCGAATACTGTATATGCATTGCATAACTCATATTGGAAACAAGAATGTTGGAAGACATTTTTATAGAATGCAAGTTTTGCTGTATTGAGCACTAAAGAAAAAAATTATTAAAGGGAGTGTTCGCAAGAAAATGAAAGGGGGTATAGGCTTACGGCGATAAATATTCTCTTCTGATCGCTACTAGTCTTACTTCTATCTGTTGCGTCTATATGGAGAAAATTGTTAAAAATGTCTCATACCGAAGTACGAAGTGTTCATGCAAAATGAGGAAGTTGTAACATATGACTTGGATCGTAAAAAAATCAAATTAATATAAAACACATAATTTAGATGTTAAATCCTATAGTCATCGATTATTTTTCGACGCATTTGCATATAGTTGATATTTTATAATATTTTTTATTTTGTGTTTTTTAAAATTAATATTTCGCTTACAACTTGTTTTCACGACTGACGCATTCCCGGAAAATATGGAAAATGTCGTCTTCATTATCTAAATCCTCGAAACAGGAATGCATGTTTTCAAAAGTCACTCTCAGATCATAGAAAGTAAAAAATATTATGAAATATTAACTATATACGAATGCGTTGAAAAATAATCGATGACTATGAGTTGTAATATCTGAATGCTTTGTTTGGAATTAAATATGCTTTTTTTACGATCCGAGTCGTATGTTGCAACTTTCTGAATTTGTAAGGAATCTACGTTCTTCGGTATGAGACGTTTTTAACAATTTTCTCATTATGACGCAACAGATAGAAGAAAGATTAGTAGCGATCAAAAGCGATTATTTTTAATTATTTTAATATTTCGCGAACACCCCCCTTAATGGTCGTGTGCAATTTCAGAAATTTCTTTTTTTTGAATTAATGGAGATACGATCAAATTTAAAATCAAAGGACACTGGTTCTAACTAACAGTATTATCCTATTCTAACCAGAGATAAGACTATTATCTAGATAATACTGGTTCTAACTAACAGCAGTATTTGGATAATACTGATTCTAACTAACAGATAGTATCTACTTCTAGATAATGCTGGTTCTATCTAACAGTATTATCTAGATAATACTGGTTCTAACTAATAGTATTATCTAGATAATACTGGTTCTAACTAATAGTATTATCTAGATAATACTGGTTCTAACTAATATGTATTATCTAGATAATACTGGTTCTAACTAATAGTATTATCTAGATAATACAGGTTCTAACTAATATGTATTATCTAGATAATACTGGTTCTAAATAACAGTATTATCTAGATAATACTGGTTCTAACTATCAGTATCATATAGATAATACTGGTTCTAACTAACAGTATTATCTAGATAATACCGGTTCTAACTATCAGTATTATCTAGATAATACTGGTTCTAACTATAGATAATACTGGTTCTAACTATCAGTATTATCTAGATAATACTGGTTCTAACTAACAGTATTATCTAGATAATACTGGTTCTAACTAACAGTATTATCCCCATGGCCTCTCTCATCTACTTCAACATTCAAGTATTTACTCTGAGGTAAAATTAAAACAACAAGTTTCAATTCCCGTTTTCTCAATAAAATAAAACAGCAAAAACTAAACATTACATGTTCACCATGTAAAATAGGATTACTAAGCTTTTAGGGAGCTTTGCGCCTTATTTCTATTTTAACTGAGAACATGTTCTCTTTGTATGCATTGTAAAACAAAAACAAACAAAAAAAAGTCGCGGATTTTATAAAAAAAAAAATCGTGGGTTTTTTAAAATTTTCAAAAATCGAATTTTGTTTGAGGCAAATATTTAAAAATTATATCATCCATAAACCTTCCCTGGGGTCGAGCCATGTCCCACAAAAAATGGTGGCCCGATCGGTTCAGCCGTTTTTACGTTTATTGTATACAAACTTGAAACAAACAGGCACCCAAACAAAGAATTCATATAAATAAAGAACTTCATGAAGTAAAATTTGTCTATTAAAGTAATGAAAGGTTGCGGACTACCCTAAAAAGACAGTCTGGGTCTGATGTCGTCAGATCAGAGGTATAAACCTTTTTTACTCTGCTAAAACATACAGAGCTACCCACAAAGACTGGTGAGACTGGAAAATAATATAATATGATTTTAAGGTTTAGTTTTCTGCCTTGCTATACTTTTGTAATGGCTTAAAAAAGATCTGGCAAAGAAAGACATTTTAGACTACGTAGAGTCATCTCTGAAGTTTTAATTTTTGCGGATATTTGATAACCCTCCTGTATGTAGTCTAGGTAAAACAATTTAGAGTGCATTCATTCTTTACTCCGCGATATTTTTTCTTCCTGAAAATGTTGACAATTTTACTAGAAGAATTGTAAATTGTACATGGAGAACCAGAAAACTGAGGAATAGTTCTGACTTTCACTAGCACGGGCAGCCGTAGTACATTTGAATTTCCGAGCCGGGTCAACCTTTCCGGGCCCAGTTTGTACTGTATCGCCCGTACATTGGGTAAATAAAGCAGACACTCAATAGGACTAGCCGGTGCAAGGGTGCGTGAAAGTTCAATGAGCCCAGGACACACGTACCAGTTGTGCAGTGTAAACAGATCAATTTCAGTTAACTATAAGTACACTTAAAGTTACTTGTAAAACTGTTTGCTTTGAAACATCAAATGCACTATTGCTTAATTTAATGTCTTCCTTTTCTATGGCTTTCTGGTTCTCACTTTAAATCATTAAATTGCTGAAGAACATTCAAACAAAAATTATAAACTTTCAAATGTCGTCTTTTAAATCCTCAAAAAATAAATATCTATTTAAGAATTGATACTTTTTTTTAATGATAATTCACATTGAAGTGCAATGCTGATGCTAACATTTGCAAGTGTTTTGACTGGCTTCAATGTCTAATATTGCGCAGAAATGATTAAAAAATCTAAATTTTCAAAATCAGCCGATGATTCTGTTTTCTAATTTTTGAGCCTTGTTTTTCTTGGTAGCACCAATTGAATTTAAGGTCCGTGATCCAAAATGATTTGCGTTAAGGGCAATTTCATGAAATGTTTACGGGACTTGTCTTAATGCCACGGTTATTTCTAGGTATAATTAAGCTTCTTTATAAAGCAAAGTCAGAAATGAAAGTTAATTTTAATTTAATTTCCATTTATTTTTTTTATTTCAAGAAATATTCTAAATGTTTACGAGAATATCCGGAAACCATTCAAACTTTTTATGAAACTATTGTGTATTCATCGTAAACTTCTTAATGAACCTATAAAGTAATCATCGCGCTATAACGTTAAATTAGCTGTACATTATAGCACGTGTGCTATAAAGTTTTGATTGATTCCCAGATTTTCTCCAAAAAATTTAGGATATTTTCAAAATTTTTAAATTTCAATTTAAATGAAAATAAAATTTAAATCAACTTTATATTTTGACTTCTGCTGTGTTTCAAAGCTTATTTGATCTAGGAATGGCCATTGAAATGATACAAGTAGAGAAAAGTTTCATAAAATTACCTATAACACTGTTATTTTGGCACAACGTGCTATACAGTTTTTTCTGTGTATCTCGATGTTTCTCGCCTTTTTAGATTATATTTTGTCCCCCGCTAAAGCTCAGGGCAGAATTGAATCTAAAAAGGCCGGCTTGAACCTTCTTGAAAAAGAGAAAATTTCTGTCCAAAAACTTTACAACACTGCGAACCAAAATAACAGTGTTATAAATACTTATTATCCACATGCTATATTCAGCTAATTTACCATTTTAGCACAATGATTAGTTTATAGCACGTCTTTAATAAATTTAACAAGTTAAGTGACCATTAATGATAAAGTACACAATAGTTTCAGTAAGATTTTATAAAGTCATGATGAAAAAATCAGTATTAAGATTAAATCCTATGATTATTCAATTATCCTAAACTTTTAAGAATCATAAAATCTCTTCTTTCAATAATTAGATTTTAAAAACTAATTTGGAAAAAAGTTTTAAGTGCACCCGTACTCCTACACTTTCTCAAACTTTTCAACACGAAAACAAAAACTTTAGAAAAAAACCACATATCTTTTTGAAAAGTTATACATTGAATTTGAAAGTTCAAAAACATCATTTCAACCTTTTTAAACTGTTTTTCCTGGTGTCCTTTCAAAAATTCAAACTATGAAGAGGAGAGTGGCAGATCTTTTGGGTGTGGAGTAAATCCCAGAATCTGGAGTCAAATTTTAAATTGTATAAATTGACAAAATCATGTGTTGACGATGCACTGACAATAAAATAGCTTTTAATCATATTTTTTAACATTTTTTTGTAAAAATATTTTGTTTCGTAATGAGTACGTAATTTAAGGTTTTATAGTTTACTACAATGCATGTTAGGTCTCAAAGCACGCTAAATTCATTGATAAAAGATTAATATAAAAAGGTTAAGCTATAAACAAACTGGCTATAACGTTTTTCATGTTTATATATTAACGTCAAAATCATGGATTTGTTATTAAAGTATTTGTAACTAAATGACAAAATCAATGAATGTGACGTTTATAAAAAACTTTTCGCCGGTTTGAAAAATTTAGAGCAGAGCTTTTTTCATATCTAATTTTAACTCCTATATAAATGATGAAATAAACCTTATGTAATAAAACAGTATAAATGTAATCACGAAAAATGTTTTAAGAACACGTTTGAAAGGATGATTTAAATGTTATAACATTCTTTTGTCTGAACATGATTTTATTTGTTTAAACCCTTAATTTTTTTTAGTATTCATAAAAATAGCTTTAAAAATTCTTAAAAGATTTCTCAACTTTCGCCGAATTTTAGACAAAGGAACTGAGTTCTTGCCACAAAGCCAGATTTTTCAATCTTTATATTTTCGATAACCAATGTTATATAGTGATATTTCGAGATATGCAATCTGTTAGACTAAATAGTCTAACTTAGAAATAGCAAAGGTTGGAAAGGTATAGGAATTAGAAAATTTGAGTTTGTGGGGAAAATTAAGCGTGAGATATCAATTATCTATTTATTTGTTAGTTGATTATTTTCAACTGTGAGTTTTCCAAAACATTACTTGTTGCAATATGAAACTAATTTGTAATTGGAAATCGGATATTCCCCTGTTTTAATGGAAGGTCATTTGAAATTACAATTACAATAATATTTCTTCTCATTCATTTTCATTACAATTTACAAGGACTGAACTGAGTATTGAGTGACTATTGAGTAGTGCTCTGTAATAATCCGTGAAATATAATTGTACCTAGCGACGAATGACGATGTTCTTGACGGCCATAGTTTTCTTGTTTATCCTCTGCCAGCCTCCACGTATCATTCTTAGTATTGTAGAGGCCACAGAGGTTATTTTTGTTATTAATATGATTATTATAATTATATTATTAATAATGACATTATTATATTTTATAGAGATTGATTCATCCAGAGGATAAGTTTGATGAAGCCGAAGGTTTGATAAGAATTTAAATCTGAAACTAGTTTAAAGTTTGGTTTATAAATCTCCAAACACTGCATGACCTTTATAGGATTTATTGGATTCACTGTTACAGTGCGCCCCATACACTGCGGAATGAGCCACCACTATTTCCCCTCCCGTACCACCACATTTGACTCTTCTGGGCAAAACTACTTTTTTAAATGGCTATATTTAGGGCCTTTAAAGTGTGATTTTAAAAAATCCAGCCGCGTCACGCAAAATAGCACGACTCAAACCATTTTTTCAATTCTACTTAAGATTAATATTTTGTGTGTTGAATTCTTAAACTTTTACAATGAAATATTTGACAAATTTGACTGAGTATTGCATCTTGAAATATCACAAAGTCTAATGATTATTCAATTACTGACTCATTATACTAAATCCATCTTAAAATCACTCATTAACCAATATTGTGATATTTCAGCACGGCTATAAATTATTAGATTATTTGATTAAGATTAGTGAAATCATGAAATATCTCCCAAAGATTAGGTTACATTCTGATTAAGGTGCATTGAAACTGCTGAACCCGAAAGACAGAGTATCGTCATGAAACCCAGTATCAGAACACGGGTTTCGTAATTGGGTTAAGACAATTTTATAGAGATATATATTTTTTGGTTAGAATTGTTATTTTACATGATAGTCTTTTCTTTTTCTTATTCTTTAATTAATAAACCCCCCCCCCCCCAAAAAAAAACAAAAAAAACAAAAAATCAGGAGTTTCATTCAATTCATTCTCTTAAATTTCAGCTTCTGACGCTTTATTTCATATAGCCGATTAAACAATAAATCAGAATAATATCACTAAACTTGTTCAAGGTTTTATGAAATATCTCTTAATTGGTCAACCTGACAAGCATACAAAGGAACTGAGTTTTAGCCACAAATTCTGATTTTCAAATCGCTATATCTTTGCAACCTAATGGTGTTAACCTTTGATATTTCAAACTATTATTATTTGATCTAAAATAATTCAAAGTTTGAAATATCTAAGGTCTCTGACATTGAAATGCAAAGATATAGAGACAAGAAAATCAAATTTTGTGACAAAAACTCAATTCCTTTTAGGATTTTAAAAAGTAATCTAATATTACATTTTGGTTTTACTCTGTCAATATATTTGGTTAAAAAGGGTGAATTTTCTTTATGGAGAGGCATGTGAGTTCCTAAATTTTCTTTTTTTTAAATAATCACTTATCTCTTTTTTTAATTCACTTTCTACATTTTTTGTGTCTGTCAAATTAACAAATGTATTGTCTAAATTGTTAAACTTTGTTAGACTGGTTTCACATAATGAGAGGAATATCTAATCTGACGATAGCGGCAAACTCTTCAGTTAACATGTGGATCTATCTAAACATGGTAATTTATTTTAGATATGGTGTCCGGCTATGGGAAAAAATTCTGCGTATGACTGAATTTTAACTTTTTATTGATTTGCATATTTTTTTAATTATCACAAATACAAAGCTATTAATGCACCATTTCCAACATAACCAACAACAAACACCAAGAGTGCAGCTACACCTACAGTACACAATATGTACATAGCAAACTGTCATGTGTGTGGTTGGGGACAGGTGTCCTTTTTTCTAGCGTTTTACAAATATTATATTTAAGGTTTGTTATCAAAGAACTCCACAAGTAGAGATACGTCTCGACGCTGCGGCCAGGAGGTATCCCTCCCCCTCCCTTCTCCATCTTACCTTCTTCACTTATTCCATCCTTCCACCCCCTCCCTTCTCCTCTAACCTTCTTCCTCTTACCTTCTTCCTTTATTCCATCCTCCCTCCCCCTCCCTTCTCCCTCTTACCCTCTTCCCTTATTCCTTCCTCCCTCCCCCTCCTCCTCCCTCTCCACTCGATTCTCATTTCTCCCTGAAAAATTCACAACTTTCAGAATGAATTCTTCACTGTAATTTTCGAAACTTTTTAAACTGTTGGTAAAAACTAAACTTTTAGGAGCAAATTCAAGAATTCTGGGAAAGTGAAAAATTTCTACCAACTCTCAACTGGCAGGTATATATAGTGTATATAGTGTATATAGTGTATATAGTGTATATAGTATATATAGTGTATATAGTGTATATTCCACATAAACAAGTATTTCAAGGATTCTGTACATAAACATTAAACAGTAAGATCACTTTAGAGTAAAAATGAACTTTCTGAACCCCACCACCCTTATCCACTTCTTCAATTATCATACAGGGAAATTTTCATCTTTCTAAACATCCCAACGAATGATTTTACAGGTTCTTTCCCTTTTATGATTGGATACTAGATAGATAAGACTCAAGACTAAGCTTTCATTGAGACAAATTTAAGACTCTAGCTTTGGGATAAGTTGCAATTAAGATGGAGTTATCAAACCGGTTTGATATTGTATGTGGTGGAAAACAACAGTCTCAACATTGAGACTTATTCTCCACTAAAACCAACCAAGGATTGGGCCTAACTCCGCGGTAAGTGGTCTTGAAAAAAGACTGAAAATAAAAGGCCAAGATTGAGTGGAATAATGAAACATGTTTGCACACAAAACTTTATTTACAGGTTAATTACACAAATGGTTGATCAGATAGATGTTTTTTATGTATCGTTCAACGCCTGAGATTCTCAGGCTTCATCCTATACCCCCTTTCATTTTTCCTTTACAGCCCCTTTAAATTACAAAACCATGTCCAGTTAATTTGTTAATTTATAAGATTCCAATTTTCGAAAGAAAGAAAAATAATAATCAAGCTTGTTGTAAAGTTGGCATGGAACGTAGGTTTGCAGAGGGGGGATAGATAAAACTCCAATTATTGAGGGTTAGGTTAGGTTTAGACAATTTCTGGGCCGAGCGCTGCGGCTAGGGGGCCGAGCGTCGCGGCTAAGGGGCCGGCGTTGCGGCCACATAATCAATTTAGGAGTTTTATCTATCCCCCCCCCCCCCCCCCCCCCCGGCATTCTCTATGTGCCCCATTATGCATCATAATACGTAATCAGTAAAATAATTGTATTGAATTTGTGCCGCGGCTTAAATTTAAGCCGCAGCTCATATATGGTTGGTTCCGCTTAAATTGTTTTCAATTTTTCAAGATTTAAGCCAGCGCTCAATTGAAACGGGTTTTTGGGGGATTTGAGACGCGGCTCAATTTCATTAAATTCGGACTCTGAAAGGCTTAAACTCTTCAAATATGACAAATTAAGTCTTCATGTTTTAAAGGTAGTCTCTAAATCAGAGCCTAGATGGCTTATTTAATGTTTTAAAGGTAGTCTCTAGACTCTAGAGCCTAGATGGCTTATTTAATGATTTACAAAGAAAAACAGAAGTTTATAGTTGCAGGGAGGTATGATCAAATATATGGAAACGTGAAGTATAAATTCCGTACAATCGTCTCTGAAGTCTCATCTTTTGTTGGTAACCCTGCATTGTATAAACTTGCTACTAACTAGTTAATAATGACTTATAGGTAAATATCCCCCCCTCCCCTATAAAAGGATACCCGTCTATTTAGATGAAAAGAGCAAAACATTTTTCTCAAATATACTTTTTTAATTTTTTGAGAGAAATTTCATATTCCCATTTTAAATATTTCTAAAGGGTGAAAATGTGAATATTTTAGTATGAGTGTTCCTTCCTCTGGGTCCAGCTATGCTCTCAGCGCAACTATATCAAATTCAAAACAGGTTTCAGTCATATTTTTTATTAGAAAAATCCCAGTTTAAAGGGACTGTAGGCACAATTTTAAGTGACTATATATAGAGTGCATCGCTTCATGTAGTACCCTTTAAAAACTTATTGTATACTCAAGAGTGCTAAGATGTCAATCAATATTTCTTTGGAAAAATATCACTTTTTATTGCATGGTTTCTCGTCAAACAGTTTAGAAACAAGGTAGAGGAGAATTTGACTTAGAAGGGTTTCAGGTTGGTACTTTCTAAGTATACGTCTAAACCAATTTAATACAAGCTTGGGAATCCAGCTTTGCCTGGAGTTTTCCCGTTAAAAGTCGAACCACCCAACATAGAATTTTTTAATCCTGCTAAGAACATTTACAAAGTTCCCCAATCAAAATTTGTGTCCAAATATAAGTCGAGGGGATCCTTACCAAGTTTTGATCGAACATCCAACCAGACAAACAGAGATTGATACTTGATATAATATAGTTTCGCATATACAATTTTGTTCTTGTTTATATTCCAGAATTCAGTAGATAAGGGATCTCTAATACTCTCCTCCCAAATGAATTCCCAAGATAATGCACCCTACGTCAGGTAAATGTTTTGATAGAAAAACTAAGATGAAAAGAAAGATTTTTATGCCATAGGACCTAAAGAATTTTACAGATAAGACATTCTTCGTTATGTACCTAAAAACATTAAGTTTTTGAAAATAACAAATTAATTTCAATCAACAATGGTTCAAATTCTTTAAATTCGGCCTCAGTTGGTTTAACTTTGTCTATTTTAGAACCCTTAGTAAAGATTACTGTGTTGAATTTGAGAAGCAAGAAGATCAAATAATAGATCAGGTTTGTTACGTGTAAAGATCAAATAATAGATCAGCTTTGTAACGTGACATGATCAAATAATAGATCAGGTTTGTAATGTGACAAAATCAAATAATAGAACAGGTTTGCAACTTGACAAGATCAAATATTAGATTTGTAACTTGACAAGATCAAATATTAGATCAGGTTTGCAACTTGACAAGATCAAATATTAAATCAGGTTTGTAACGTGACAAGATCAAATAATAGATCAGGTTTTAACGTGACAAGATCAAATATTACATCAGGTTTGTAACGTGACAAGATCAAATATTAAATCAGGTTTGTAACGTGACAAGATCAAATATTACATCAGTTTTGCAACTTGACAAGATCGAATATTAGATCAGGTTTGTAACTTGAAAAGATCAAATAATAGATGATGTTTGAAACATGACAAGATCAAATATTAGATCATGCTTGTACCGTAACAAGATCAAACATTAGATCATGTTTGTAACGTAACAAGATCAAATATAAGATCATGTTTGTAACGCAACAAGATCAAATATTAGATCAGGTTTGTAACGTGAAAAGGTCAAATATTAGATCAGGTTTGCAATGCGACAAGATCAAATATAAGATCAGGTTTATAACGGGACAAGATCAAATATTAGATCAGGTTTGCAATGTGAGAAGATAAACTATTGGATCAGGTTTGTAACGCGACAAGATTGATATTAGATCAGGTTTGTAATGTGACAAGATCAAATATTAGATCCGGTTTGTAATGTGATAAGGTCAAATATTAGATCAAGTTTGTAACGTGACAAGATCAAATATTAGATCAGGTTTGTAATGTGACAAGATCGAATATTAGATCCGGTTTGTAGCATGACAAGATCAAATATTAGATCAGGTTTGTAATGTGATGAGATCAAATATTAGATCCGGTTTGTAACGTGACACTGACAAGATCAAATATTAGATCAGGTTTCTAACGTGAAAAAATCAAATATTAGATCAGGTTCATAACGTGACCAGATCAAATATAAGATCAGGTTTGTAACGCGACAAGATCAAATATAAGATCAGGTTTGTAACGTGACAATATCAAATATTAGATCAGGTTTGTAATATGACAAGCTCAAATATTAGATCAGGTTTGTAATATGACAAGATCAAATATTAGATCAGGTTTGTAATGTGACAGTATCAAATATTAGATCAGGTTGGTAAGGTGACAAGATCAAATATTAGATCCGGTTTGTAGCATGACAAGATCAAATATTAGATCAGGTTTGTAATGTGACGAGATCAAATATTAGATCCGGTTTGTAACGTGACACTGACAAGCTCAAATATTAGATCAGGTTTCTAACGCGACAAGATCAAATATAAGATCAGGTTTGTAATGTGACAGTATCAAATATTAGATCAGGTTTGTAATGTGACAGTATCAAATATTTAATTTTTTTACTTTTTAACCAACTCTTTTCTATAAAACTTTTGTCTTTGATGTAATTGTTCGTTACTAAGAACGGAACGGGGGATGGAAACGTTCTTGATTAAGAACAGAACAAGAGGGATGCAGCCGTTCTTCAACTAAGAACGCCAAGAACGGAATGGAACGGGAAGACCGTTCTTCTACTCAAAACGGAACGGAACGGGGCGGAACGGAACGAGAACGGAACGATAAAAAAAGAGGAACGAGAACGGAACGATTTAGCTGAAGGCCCTCGTTCTAGAACGGAACGGAACGATTTCAAAAAAGTCTGAACGTGCCCAGCCCTACGTGCAAATGAAAAGTGACAAATAGCCAGAAAGAATAAATCAATAAGAGGAATTGACAGCAAAATTTCTCAGCAAGTTGATATGTTGGTTTCATTTTTATATCTACATTTAGCATTGTATAAATCATTTGAAGGTTGTTAGATTATTAATAAACAAGGAATTCCAACAAGTATACGAATAGGAAAACATTTTAGGATTTTATAAATGTCGTCTTCCAATATTGTTCCTTAAACATTGACAGAGATATCCAGATTTCAATAATTCATTAAAACCATTGTATTTCACACACACGAAAATGTGTGATATATCTCAGGGTTGCTACGGACTGATTAATGTGGAGATGAATGAAGTTGACCTGCGGCTGCAGCCCACCTGTAATCAGAACCTTGACTCTTCAAGGTAAATAAGGGATTGTACCATAACTGTACACATAATTTCAAATGCCCCTCCATTTTTGGATTGGCATGTACGATGTACCTTTTATAACCCTATCTTTGTTGATCGAGTACAAGAAAACTGAGTATTTCGCCAGTACGAGTATTGTGTGAATTCTAGCCAATAAGACGGCATCCGCAAATATTTCTTAAATTTCTAAAATGTGTTACGCCGAATGCGATTTCCAAAAATTCGTTTGAATGAAAAAAATTTATACTGTGACTCCAAGAAAATGGATACTTATACTTTTAAAACTGAAACATTGTTAATAATGCGTTATATATTTATTGATACCTAACTTGGGAGCCCAGCGCTGCCCAGGGTACTCATCAAGGTTAAAAGTATACCTTGGTACTTAAAGTTATTCTTCTGTTGACAAAAATTGTTTAAGAAATTAAAAAAAATTCATTTATATAAATCTGAACCCACTTGGATTTTCATTCTGGGCTTTTGGAATCCAATGTGAACTTCTAAGTAGTCTTAAACTGGAACAATATGGCGAAAACCTAAAAAAGGAAGGTTGCAGCAATCCCAGCCTATGGTTGCAAACAGCTTTGATGGACCTTAGAAATATTCCATTTTTTAGTGGCATCAAATTGGGGCCTCTTTAAGAATTAATTTGAAATATACCACTTAAGTTATATTATCAAGTACAATTTCTAAGAAAAATCTAAGTTGGTTTAGATTTATATAAATGATTTTTTTAAAATTTTAACGGAGAGATTTTCGATTATAGGACTATAGTTTAACACCAAACGAAACAATCGGACGACAAAAAGATAATTAAAAGACCACTTCTAAAATTAAAAGTTATACAGCAGGGCACATTTTCGAGTCATTTTAAATGAATAAAAGGGCTAAGAAATCCTGATCCCTGTTTTTTGGGCCACCCTGTATTTAAGTCAAATGCTCTGAGACTTTTTTTTAATAATTTGAATATTTTAGTTATTGGAGCCAAAGTCCGACTTCTCATCACCTTGTGTCAGACATACAGTTTCATGATGAACCTTTGGGCCTTCAGAAATCAGACCTTAAACAGAATTCAGATATTCTACAGAATTCAGACCTTAAACAGAATTCAGATATTCTACAGAATACAGATATTCTACAGAATTCAGATATTCTATAGAATTCAGATATTCTACAGAATTCAGGTATTCTACAGAATTCGGATATTCTAAAAAATTCAGATATTCTACCGAATTCAGATATTCTACAGAATTCAGATTTTATAGAGAGAATGAAAATTTTATAGAAAATTCAAATCCTCGAGTGATAAATGAGAAATCTTAATTTGCAGATAACTCAGATATTTTGGAGAATTTTGACATTATCTAATTTTGACATCAATATTTTCAAGGCAATTTTGCTCTTGTCAATTCTGAAGTATCAGAAACGAATTTTGATGTAATCAATCAATCGTCAATTTGTCAAAAATGGCTAAAATTCATCAATTTATGTGATAAAATTGTCCTCTCTATTAGTTTTTTGTTTCATTCATTAACAAAATAACGAAACTGTTACAACTGAACACTATACAAAAAATGATTTTTACAAACATCGTTTTTGTTTGGCAGTGGTTCCATTTCTCCCGATGTTTAAAGTCAAAATTTCACTTAAACTTATGTCTCTATTCACCTTAAATGAACCATAAGCATTTTAAATTTTTATTAAAATATTGTGCATTTTATCAAAATTACTCCCTTATGGTGAATTTTATTATTGACGTGCTATTAAGTAATCATCGTGCCATAATGTAAAATTAGCTGTATATCGTGCTATGAAGTTTCGATTGGTTCCCGGATTTTCTAAAAAAAAATCGAATATTTCTAGAATATGTTTTTCAATTTAAAGGAAAATATAAATGAAATTAACTTTTAATTATTATTTTTTATTAGCTTATTATATCTAGAAATACCCATTGAATCAAGACATGTAAATTGTTCACAATAGTTTCATAAAATTACATAAAACACAATTATTTTGGCACGACGTGTTATAAAGTTTTTACACTTAAATTTACTCTGTATCTCGAAGGTTCTCGCAATTTAAGATCATAATTTGTCCTGCTTGGGACAAAATTGATAAAGAGAAAATTTCTGTCAAAAAACTTTAGAATACTGCGAACCAAAATAATAATTTAAAATTCGGTGATGGTAATGGACCAAACCTCTGTACAGCAAAAAAAAGTAGATGTTAGTTCCATATTTATTGAAAATACAGGGTGTCCCACGAAACATGACAATAGGAAGACGACTTGAAAGTCGTCTTTGATATTTGAATTTATTTGTGACGTTTAGTCTTCTATCTACTTTAACATGTATGATTCTTGAAACAATTATCACATAATTCTCCTAGCCCTGGCATTTCCAAAAAGTGGTCTGCGTTTTTTGTGCTTTCAATATTACCGGAGATATTAGCTTTCATGGCGTTTCTAGGCACTCTTTCTCCTAATAAAAGCTTTCATGGCGTTTCTAGGCACTCTTTCGCCTCATAAAAGTGTTTGTTCAATGTTTAAAGTCAGTGAATGCAAAGTTTCATGGTTTTTTAATATTGATTTCCAAAAATTTAACAAATAAAATTTGATGTTCTCCTTCCTTTTTAAAGCACTCTATATACCACACATCTTAATTTATTTATACTATACTATATAATTTATTTATAAGTATCTTATTAGTTTTGTACATTTATTCTGGTAAAAACATGAATTAGTTTAGATATTGATGTTTATTGGTGTTCCAATAAACATGGGAATTCAGTGACGAATTCGATACCGTCTTTTAAATAATTCTTTGATTTAGTATAGTGATACCTACTGAGAAAGCTTGTAATCCGTAGGATTTTCATCTGCGCTATTTTCACATTTTGTTTGTTTATGTTTTGATTGTATACGGTTTTAAAATAAGAAAATTGCAGTATACAAACAGAGTAAACTTGTCCGTCTTCACTGTTCATCTTGCGGAGACATTATAGACACATCTTTTCATAAAAAAAAATCTAGCAGACATAATATTATGGGTTTTGAAATTAGGTATTACAATGCTAATTCATAACAAAGACATATCCAATTCGTCACTGAATTTTCATGTTTTTGGGACACCCTGTAGTAGGATAACCCATAGCTCCAGTAGAGTATAGAGAATACAAGGATTATATACGATCACGTACCGACCTAATTAGTAATATGTATTATAGAATGGGACGATTTCCGAACCCCAGCTTAGGGCTCTAAGAATTTTTGAAAAAAATAATCAAAATATTTTTTTTAATGGCGAGCTGAGAGAGTATTTTTTTTTTTGTAAAAAGAACCTGTAAAATCATTCGTTGGGATGTTTAGAAAGATGAAAATTTCCCTGTATGATAATTGAAGGACTGCAGTATGGTTTTGGTGAATTATACGCCGGCTTAAATCTTGAAACATTTGATACAATTTTAAGTGAAACCAACCATATTTAAGCCGCGGCTTAAATTTAAACCGCCGCTCAAATTCTTTAAATTCGGCCAAATGTTGCAGATATCTAGGGATTTAAAATCAGACTTTGTGCACAAACTCCGTTTTTTAATGAAAGTTTAGTTACCATAAAGTCCACGAAAGCCAGATTAGGTTTAGGTTTGTTAACCTTCTCTCCTAGTCAATAATTCTCCATGATTATTAATCTCTCTTTTCTCTTCATTACGCTCGTTATCCATAAACGTATGCAGCAATACCTAAAATGAGGTCGGAATCCTTAATCTATAAGTTTGATCTTGATATCCAATGTGCACGCACCCCTGACCCTTCAGTAAAAAAAAATTAAAACTAAAGTCTGACCGCTAGTCCTATTGAGTGTCTGCTTAATTTACCCAATGTCCGGGCGATAAAGTACAAAATGGGACCGGAAAGGTTGACCCGGCTCAGAAATTCAAATGTGCTACGGCTGCCCGTGTGTGATGTGGGAACTCTGACGTTTATACAGAATAAAACTAGAATTATTAAAACATCGAATTATAAGATTTAGTGAAGTTTTAGAAAGCGTTTAGAGCGTACATTCTTCCTTATTATTCACACTTTTTATTTGAAGGAATTGTCAACGAAAATGCAAGTGCTCATCTACTTAAAAAGTTCAGTTTAATTTCTGATTCACAATGGTACTCTGTAAACCTTCAGTTGAAAAAAAATGAGGAAGCTATCATCGTTTTTAGCATTAAAGTGTTTAATTCTGACAATATCTTTACTTTTTCTGTTTCAAAGAAAGTACAATTGAAAATGGTTAATTTTTTAACTTAAAACGCAAGGGTATGTCATACATCTTTGATCAGATAAAGGTACAATTAGTTCAATGCCTTTGTGATTCAAACTTTTCACTCATTTTACATCTAGTTTACATCTATATTTAAGGTCTATATGGTCCCTTTAATTAGCCTTCTAGGATCTTTTAAAGATCCTAGAATATCTTTTTAAGAGGTACTTTTATTTTCATGCTTAATGGGATAATTATAATTTAATAAGAAACTGAAAACATCGAAATTTTTCTACCTCTAAGAGTGGAATTAAGCGAGTTTTCTACCTCAAAATGGAATTACGTGAGTTTTCTACCACAAAGAATAGAGTTACATGTGTTTTCTACCTCAAAGAATGGAATTACGCGCGTTTTCTACCTCAAGATTGGAATTACTTGTGTTTTCTACCTCAAAGATTGGAATTACATGTGTTTACTACCTCAAAGAGTAAAATTACGCGTGTTTTCTACCTCAAGATTGGAATTACATGTGTTTTCTACCTCAAAGAATGGAATCGGATTTGTTTTCTGACTCAAAAAAGGAATTAATTGAGTTTTCTACCTCAAAAATTGAATTATGTGCGTTTTCTACTTCAAAGACTGGAATTAATTGGGGGTTCTATCTCAAAGAATGGAATTGAAGTTGTTTTCTACCTCGATAAATTGAACTAGATTTGTTTTCCCGCATACTTCATGTTGGGGCGTGTCTTATTAATGAGTATCGCTAACAGATCTGAATTGCTTTAGTCGGAAAAACTTTAAAAAATTCATCTATAAGTTGAATCAGGCGAATATTAAAAATTTGCAAGCAGAAAATATAGGTTGATTCAATATTTTGGCGTTCAAAATTTATTTACTTTCAATAGCTTCAAAGTTTTATTGAAGTAAATAAAAGATATTTCTCTCATGAACAGTTTCATTTTAAAACCAAATAAAACAAAATTTTAGAGGGCTTAAGATTTATTTGTATAATGATACAGCCGGTTGTCGAGGATTAAGATTAGACGGCCTCCATAACTGGAGGTTCATATCCCTCGGGTCTGTCAACAGCCTCTCCTGTTGTGGGATCGGTGGTCACGGCTCCCTGAAAAGAAATTAAAAAGTAGTTAAGAGACCAAAATAAAACTTTGTCAATTCATATTTGAGAGGATCCTCATTTGAACTACTGCTGTCAGAACTATTTTTTATTTTAACTATAAATTATTTTAACTACTGATAATGACGTCATTTTTTGTAGTTCAAACACATTATTTAGTCATTTTTACTATTAAATATGAAGTTTCATTTATTTTATTTTATAGGTCAAACTCTCGTCACAAAATAGTTTAAATGATCATAAAATATTTCACCATGGACATAAAAATAATTCAAAGGACCAAAAACAGTTTAAATTAAATAGTTCAAAAGAGCCAAAAAATAGGGGGCCGGCCTCTGCGGCCACATGACAAACTTCATCCATGTGTTAAACAGGAGAGGCTCATTTAAAATATTTGTTGTTCATTTGAACATTTGATTTTTTTCCCTCATTTAAACTTTTTATGTTTCATTAAAACTTTTTATGGTTCATTTGAACTTTTTTGTTGCTAATTTTGAAATTTTTTATTAAAAGGTCAAATAAGTTAAGAATAGTTGTAATGCTCGGAATGTTATCATTTGAACCATTAGTCGCTTTATCTACTACACGTGATACCACGTGCAATAGTTCAAACGGCAGTAGTTCAACCTAAATTGCATCTATATTTGTAGTAAATGCAGAAGTAACGTGAGCGTGATTTCAAGGAACCCTCCTTGCAAAGATGGCAATGCATGATTAACAACGGAGCCCTTGATCTCTTAAAATCGGATCAAAATACGCAATTTTCCCGACAGAAGTGTTCAATTTTGATATTTTCCCAAGTGCGTCATTTGAGTTAAAATCCTTTTTCTCTCGCAGATGAACCGCAATTGATTATTAACGATGAAACAAAATCATTGATATCTAATTCTTCTGACAAAGCTGTGTAGCGTGGTAAATTGTGCATTAGTTGCAGGGACAGTCATTTGAAATTACGCGGTAGCTCTTAATTTTAACACCATCAAAAACCGAGATTATAGGTCCAATTTGAGCGTAAAATGCAGACGAAGCTCACAACAAAATTATAGAAATAAGTTGACAAAAACGGTTAAAAAGGTAATTTCACCTTTCCGCTTCCCTCTCCGTGCATCTCCATAAGCTTGGCGAGGTCGAATCTAGGGCGCTTCATAACCTTCACCTTCCTGATGTACACGTCGTGAAGGGGGTAAATCCTCTGAAATAGAATTAAGATGAAGAAAAGTCAAATCTGATTAAAAAGTACAGAACTAGTCAGAACTATTCACAGGATTAATTCAAAATGAGTAGTTCTGTAAAAACAGGGGTGTATATCTTTAAGAATTAACNATAATTTGATAATTTTAAAAGATTGGTAATTAGGATCCTTCACTCAAATATTCATTTATCATCATCTAAAGATCATAATTTCCCCCAAACTCGGATTATGAAACCAACATAGAAAAAGAAGATTGAGAAAATATACACCCTCTAGTGCTGTACTTCAGTCTAAAAACTTAAGACAAAAGTAATCCAAATAAGCATTATTCTTTAACCCCCAATTGGAAAATTTGATGAGAGGGATGGCCGTTCAGAGAAGAATCGATAAATGGAACAAGATGAGCAAAACTTTAAATTATAAACGACAGTTTCTGAACAGAACTCAAATGATAAATGAACCGAGGTCAGAGCTTGTGGAATTAATCAATTAACCGTGATTTATTTTTGGGGTTAGGAGGGTTATGAAGATAGTTATATTTGGATATCTCTCTAGATCGATGAGAAACACAAAGTATGAAACGAGTCATTTCGTATTGAAGGTTACCACAGCGGATAACGAGATTAAGCGTTAAAAGTATGGATTCTCTAAAAAGGGGGGGGGGGCTTTCAGACGGGTTCCCGGATATTCCTGACAAATTGGCGCAGTCACACACAAGTTTTGACCTCGGATCAAATTATATCATCCTCTGGTATTCCGTCATTACCTGGCAGGCCTTCATGATGTCGCTAGCGATGGAGTCAGGGATAAGCTTGTTCACAACTCCCTTCAGATCATCAGAGCTCACCTCCTTGGTGATGATGTCCAGCATCTTCTTACGGATGTTACGAATCTAAACCAGCAAATTGATAAAAGGAAGTAATTGGGGAGGGAACAGGAAACTTCATACAGGGGAATGTTTAGTATGACCAAGAAAAAATTATTGATTCTGCCAAAAAAGAGATGACGCTATATAAAATTTCAGATTTATTCCAAATTCATAAGAGAGAAATTTGGATATTATTAAATTTACTTAAAACTTTCCTCATAAAATCCAGGTGAAACTTCATATGTCAAAATAAAAATAAGAGAGATAATAAATAATATTTGATTAAGTACAAGCTCTAAATATTTCACCTGCTGAGACTGAGCGTAGCAAGTCTTCTTCTGGGAGAGTTCCTGCTTCTTGGTGAATCCAATACAGAATACACGGAGGGTATATCCATCAGTAGTCTGAATATAGTAGGATATAAATACAGAATACACGGAGTGTATATCCATCAGTAGTCTGAATATAGTTTGATATAAATACAGAATACACGGAGCGTATATCCATCAGTAGTCTGAATATAGTTGGATATAAATACAGAATACACGGAGGGTATATCCATCAGTAGTCTGAATATAGTTGGATATAAATACAGAATACACTGAGGGTATATCCATCAGTAGTCTGAATATAGTAGGATATAAAAACAGAAAACACGGAGGGTATATCCATCATTCTAAAAGTTTGATATAAATACAGAAAAACACGGAGGGTATATCCATCAGTAGTCTCAATATAGTTGGATATAAATACAGAATACACTGAGGGTATATCCATCAGTAGTCTGAATATAGTTGGATATAAATACAGAATACACCGAGTGTATATCCATCAGTAGTCTGAATATAGTTGGATATAAATACAGAATACACTGAGGGTATATCCATCAGTAGTCTGAATGGAGTTGGGATATAAATACAGAATACACGGAGGGTATATCCATCATTCTAAAAGTTTGATATAAATACAGAAAAACACGGATCCATCATTCTAAAAGTTTGATATAAATACAGAAAAACACGGAGGGTATATCCATCAGTAGTCTGAAAATAGTTGGATATAAAATATAAATACAGAATACACGGAGGGTATATCCATCAGTAGTCCGGATATACGGAGGGAACCCTTATTACCTTGGCATCAACGTTTCCCTCAATGAGAGTCTGCCACTTCTTTACCATGGACCTCAGTTTGTCGGTGGTCAGGGACATGCCGTGGAAGTTGGTCATGCAGTTCTTTCCCTAGAATAATAACAATGACAAATGCAGTTCGCGTAAAAGGAAAGGGTTATTAGGTGACAGGAAAGAACTAAAATATTGTGTTTAACTACAGTGAATCCCGGATAAATGAATACATAGATAGATATATATTTATCATTAAAGTATATAATTTTACATAGATATATTCTTTAAACTAACAATAAGAGTTTTTTTTTAATAATGTCGTATTACATATTTAAGATCAAATACCGGGGAAATTAGTTAAATATTAATATATCAATTGCATTCATATTTCAGGGCTGTTAGTTTACCTTGAATTAAAACTAAAAAAGTTTCTTTAAATTATCAAAAAACTTAAGACGGTCTATGAATTCATATATCTATATGTTCAAAAAAAAATTGAACACTACAATGAAAATCTTAAATTTAATTACTTAAACTTGACATGAACCATGGAATAAGTTTCAATTGTATATAAAGAAAAACAATTTTGCTATCTTTATTATTTAAGTTTTTTCTTCCGCTGAATACACAAATTTATAAGAAAAGTATCGAATGATTTTTTTTTTTATTTTTTTTCATCAACTTAAGTGTTAATAATGAGATTTTACAACCAAGGATACGACTTTCTTCACGAAATAAGAAGCTTTTTATTTGAAATCCGAAGTTTTTAGTCTTCTGCGTAAAAATCTTATTGAAACAAATAATTTGACACCGAATAGGAAAATCCGTTCAGTCAACTATAAGTACTTCGTGGGTACCTCTTCTCTCAAATGAAATCAATTTTCCCTGCCAGCATTTCGTCAATCACATTATGCTGATTTCAACAATCGATCTGAGCTGAAAAATTTAGAATGGTGGATATCCAGATTAATCCTTGATCCTCCCTTTTTAATAAAATCGAGACTAACCAAATTTAGTATTTGTCTCCTGAAAAGGGTATAAAATTCAACCAATAAGAGTCGCGTGTAAGAAGCCGCTAAATTCAAAATTCAGCGCGCCATTTAAGACTATCATGAAAAAAGTAAAACCGGTTTTTGATTACTCTCCTTTATCCAAGAAAGAACGGTTTAAGAAGAAAATCAAGTGTGTCCATTGGATACTCACAGATTAAGTAAAAAGGATTAAGGTTCTCATTCTAAAGTTTTCAGCTCAGGTTCCTTTAATCCTTATCATATCTAAATACCTGGACATCCTCGCAGATGAGCTTGAACTTCCTGAAGGACCTCTCAGCGTCATTCTCAGACTGGAGATCAGCGAGGGAAACCTAATAATAAAAACAAAAATATTCAAATTCATTTCCTAATACTGTAAAGTCAATTTCAACTATGATTAAATCAATGACAAATGGATCTCACTTAAATCCATCACCTCCCCTAGCAGAGCCCGAATATTTTCAAATTTACGGTCGTATTTAAGATGTCCTAAATACGTCTCCGTACTCTATAGTGTTTTTCCGCTAGATGTCTCCCGTTAGTTATTTTCGGACAGACAGACTTACTCACGTCATGGTTACTCACATAATTTCGCCGTGAGTTAACCTTATTATAGATGTCAGCACCTGCACACACTACAACTTTATAAACACGGGGATAAATAATAATCACAATTTTAATAATACAAAGTCAAATTTTAATCCGATTTTGATCAAACTAAATAAAAAATTTAATAATCTGTAGTTTTATTTTACGAAAAATTTAAAATATTATAATCCATTAATTCTTGAGAACTTAATATTTTTGAAAGTCATGCAATAAAAAGCATCCCTGAAAATGTATTCACGCAGTGAATTGAACAGCTTTCTATTTTTTTTAGTCTATAGGGGTCGCGCGCTGTTGCAGTTTATGGTCGGACACTAAATGTTGTAGAAAATCCCATTTAGACAGTACTTAATTCCTCCATATTGAGGACGTTAGTAAGTGGAGACGTCATATGTTTGCAAAAAGTACGGATGACAAAATTCCGGCTCAGTGCTATGAAGTGGACCACAATAGTAGGCGCGTACCACCGCCGTATGATTACAGTTTTTGGTAAAAGAAGCTTTGCCCCTCCCTCTACAAATTTCAGATACGGGCCTTTAATCTACTAATAAGATAACAGTAGATTGACGAAAAATTCTTAAGATCCCCCTCACTCGAGATGACAACCATGCGATTTAAAATCAATCTTTACCTCATAGACGCGTCCCTTGAGCCCATCACTAGCAATCTTGGTTCCCTGGGTCCTGTTGACAAGGGTCTTGCCGACCTGACGAACCTTGAAGACGGAGGGAGCCTTGATATCATACCTAGAAAAATCTAAGTTTTAGAAGAGGAAGTAAAACGTTACAGGTAATCGGACTCTGAAGGATCGTTCAGTCCTTCCTGGTGAAGGGATCAATAATCTTCTTCTTGGCTCCTTTCTTTCCACCAATTTTCAATCCTTTATTTTTTCCGACAGCCATATTGCCTGAAATTGAATCAATACATAACCAAACCATCCATTAACTTATAACTGAAAACATTCGTTAAAATAAATAACATGTACTAAATGCACTGATTGATTTTAATAGCTACAAACAGCGAAATTGAGAAAATTTACACCATCACGGACAACATGCTTGTGTAGAATTTGAGCAGTGCCGCAACAAATTCCCGGTTTTCCTGAAGCCCGCGCCAGGGTGGATTGAAATCGGGAAAAACTCAAAATTCGAAAATCTAGTATTTTTTTTAGGACTTTAACAAAATGATGTATAAAAATAACACAAAAGTAGAAAATATGAAGGAAGAGGGGGGGGGGGGTGATTTAAAGATTATATTCACATTTTTATGAACATTTCTAATTGTCTATAAGTCAAATTTCTAGGCGGATATGCAGTAATTATATAATAAGTTTGGGTGCAAAAATAGCTAAAAGTGAAAAATTAACAATCCCCCGCCTCCATATCTATAATTGCTGTGCAATTTCAATATTCTAAATCATGTTGACTTCCAGCTTAGCAAACGCAAACAACAAAATTTCTTAGATGTGCTTGATTTATAGTTTTAAAATGGAAATGAAGAATTGGGCCATGGGAGCTCAACCTCCCCCCTGGATCAGTAAGTTTTCAGGGGCTTTTTGGGCCCCAACGGGTACGTTGAGCCTGAGTGAGCCCCCCCCCGCAGAAAGAAAAAATTCATGGCACCCTGGACAAATTCCTGAATACGCCCCTGAATTTGATTCTCGGTGAAACAGTAGTTTTCTTGAATTTAATTTTCAAGTGAGTTAGAATTTATTTCCTGCATAAAATGGTTACTTTTAAATTGATCAATAACCAAGTAAAAGATATAAATAAATTCTAAAAAAATGCCACCCTGAATTTCAAGAATGCAACAAAATCAAAGACGACTAAGGAAAACGGAAAAGGTTTCAATTTTGCGCATGCGCTGTTTATAATTATTACATGTGTTGAGCGAATGGTGGAGTGTACACCGGAAGCACGGGTTAATATAGCACTACCGTGTACTTAATTCTATCTTTCCAACTAAACTGCTTGCAATGGTAAGACCTTACACATACAAATCTTATGCTTTTCCTATATTTAACATATGTTATGCATTAGTTTTGGTAACTTATTAATGTTGTACTGTTTTGTGATATTTCTCTTTTTTATGAACGAAATGTTGAAGCTATACACTCAACTGCTAGAGTTGTTAAAATATACTTTTAGAGTGTTTTTTTATTCTTGAGGCTTTTAAAAGACAAACTAATACTCAAATTTAAAAGTTCTGAACGCTTTGAACGGCCTGATGGATAATTTTTTAATATCTTTGGATCTTAAATGACATGAATCTTAAATGTTAGTCATGTGGCCGCAGCGCTTGGCCCCCTAGCCTTATTTAGCCGCAGCGCTCGGCCTAGAAAGTGTCCTAACCTAACCCTAAATAATGCTAAATAAATACTTGTTTGATCATGTACAAAATTGATAGGAAGGGGGGGGGGTCCAAAAATCGTTCACTAGGACAGACCCCTAGCTGTAAATAAAACAAGTTTGGATAGGTTCTCAGATTTTCTCGAAAAAAAGGGTATTACTTTTATTCTTGGTTCTATTATTAAAATGATAACAAGGTTGATATAAACTTTGAAGACGTTTCCTAAGTTACAAATAATACTCTTATTTCTGCTAAACTTTCTGAACGTTTTTTACCTCTAGGTTTTCGGTTTTTTCGTCCCTCGCTTAAGGCTTGAACCTTCTCGTTGAACGAATTTCTGAACTTTAATACTGCGAACCATATAATCATATTTTTTAATTAATCAAAATTAGCGCTGTTTTTGATTTTTCTGGGGCATTGAACACGACATGAATCCCACTCAGTCTTTAAATGGGCAGACCTTTAAGTGGTACATGTCATTGTATTAAAATGTTCTTATTTCAGTCTCACAGAAAGTTTGAGGCGCCAAGACACGGATCCAAGGGATTTCTCCCTAAGAAGCGTTCCAAAACCTTCAGAGGGCGCGTCAAGTGCTTCCCCAAGGATGATTCCAGCAAACCTGTGCATCTTACCTGCTTCATGGGATACAAGGCTGGCATGACCCATATTGTACGCGATGTCGACAGGCCTGGCTCTAAGGTCAACAAGAAGGAGGTCGTCGAGGCTTGTACTATCATCGAGACTCCTCCAGTTGTCTGCGTTGGAATGGTTGGATATATTGAGACTCCCCGTGGTCTCAGAGCCCTGAAGACAGTCTGGGCTGAGCATATTGGAGAGGAGTGCAAGAGAAGATTCTACAAGAATTGGTAAGTATTTGGCTCTTCTTCTCAGAGCTATCTGAGCAATACCAGATATATCCACATCTTGAGATGTCAGGATACTGGTTGCCTGTAAACCCCTCCTCTGGTCTAGGCTACGAGGGGTGGACCACGGCTTGTCCAATCCTTTGGACGACAGGTCGGGTCAATATTTTTATTCAGGTCCCAGTCCAAGAAGAAGGCTTTCACAAAATCTTGCACTAAGTGGGCTGATGATGCTGGTAAGAAGATGATTGAGAAGGAGCTCAACCAGATCAAGAAGTACTGCACTGTTGTCAGAGTTATTGTGCACACTCAAATGAAAATCCTTCATCGCAGGTTGTTTCTCATTTTAAGAAATATTTCCGATAGATTTATCTTGTTTATTCTGAACAGATTGCAATCTCTAAACAAACGTTTGAGGATACCTTCTGTGTTAAAATAAGGTTTTCTCTACTATGTGATGATACTAGCCCCGTACTGTTTGATCATTATGATAACAACTTGTGCTGCTGATAAATAATTTTGTAAGCTGTAAGCACATTTACTTGGATTTAGTTTTAATGGTACCAAATTTTTAGACAGAAGAAAGCTCACATCATGGAGGTCCAGCTGAACGGTGGAAGCATCTCCGACAAGGTCAACTTTGCCAGGGAACATTTTGAGAAGGAGGTCCCAGTTACCGCTGTGTTCGCCCAAGATGAGGTCATTGACGTCATCGGTGTCACCAAGGGTCATGGATTTAAAGGTAATATCAAATTTAGACTAAATCTGATTTTAAAATGATGATCCACATGGAATTACCGTTTGAAAACAATGAAACCAAACCTCTGCTGCTTTCCTTCTGAAAACAAAACCGATTTACCGGAAACCTGGCTTCATCCTAACAATATTTACAGTTCATCTTGTGTTCAGGTGTAACTTCACGTTGGCACACAAAGAAGCTTCCCCGTAAGACTCATAAAGGTCTAAGGAAGGTTGCCTGTGTTGGAGCTTGGCATCCTAGCCGTATCCAGTACACTGTTCCCAGGTACGTTTGGCTTTAACTGGGCGTATCAACTTAATTCTCAGCGCCACCTTTCAATGTAAAATGATTTGATGAATGGTATTTGATAGATATCTCAAAGAAAACAGACTTGAGGAAGCATGCATGCTTTTGTTACATAACGTGTGCTGTTGAACTTGTGCTTTTTTCATTTTTTTAAACGTTAAATTCGAATTAAACCGCAAACTTAAATGCGCAACGAACTTTATATCTTATTTAGGGCTGGACAAAAGGGATTCCATCACCGTACTGAGATCAACAAGAAGATCTATAGAATTGGCGAGGGTTACAAGATGGTTGATGGAAAGCTGATCAAGAACAGTGGAGCTACAGATTACGATCTGGCTGACAAATCCATTAATCCAATGGGTGGGTTCCCTCACTACGGAGAGGTCAAACAAGATTTCCTTCTCATCAAGGGAGCTTGTATTGGACACAAGAAGAGAGTTCTCACTCTGAGAAAGGTGAATTTTCTTAACATTTTAAAGCAAATTAGACAACATGGCACAATGTTTATTTTTTTTGAAAAGGGTTAATTGCCTTTATAATAGGGTAACTTGACATTTTTCTCTATTCAAATCACTTCCTAATACGAGTTTGTTTAGTCCCTGCTAACTCACACCAAGAAGAGGTATCTGGAGAAGGTCAGCTTAAAGTTTATCGACACCAGTTCCAAGTTCGGTCACGGTCGATTCCAAACCGCACAGGACAAGGCCTCCTTCATGGGCCCCCTCAAGAAGGACAAGAAAGAATAAATTGTTATTTTATCCAAATAATAAATTTGTTATCACCAACCTTGTCTCGTCTGTTTGTGCGTTTTGGAGCACAGTGTGTTCGTGCGTTAGGTAAGCTTTATTTCATTCTAAAATTGTGATGTGTTTAATTGGTTGATTTAAGAGAATTTCTCTAAATTGACCCTTTCACGAATTCAAGTTATACAAATGATGAATAAAAATGTCCGAAATGAACCTACTTGATATGAAATTACAGCTGATCATGCATATTTTCATGTTTTTAAAAACATTTTATTCAATGTTTCATTGTTATTATTTCAGGTGTGATGTGTGTTGTGTGATTTTGATATTTTTAGGTAAGACTACCGTTTTTTTATTGGCAAGATTAAAACTAAATTAGAAACTTGGCTTTGCTGGCTTATTTAAATTTAACAATTATTCCGCTGTATTAAAATCCTCTAAAACATACATTTTAACAATAGTGTTCAGAGGTTTCTAAAATATGATTGGTATAAGAAAAATAAATAGATATTTTTATGTTCAAGCACATAGTTCATGGAATTTTACTTAGGTTTTAGCGGAGTAAGTGCATGAAGCACGATGTTCATATAATTCAGAACTGGAATGCTACAGGTTAGTCATTAATTCTTTAAGACCTTTTTTAATGATGACAATAAGCAGGACTAGAGTCTCCGATTGATGGATGACGATGATTTTACTTACTGATACTCACATGTTTAAAATATTTAGCAGATTAATTTCGACAAATTTACAAAATTCCGTTATTTCAGAATGCACCTGGTTTTCTGTATCCCTTCTGAATTAGTTACAGGTAAAAATAGGTTTGTTAAAATTTAAAATTTCAATGGTGATGTTAGACATTTCTTGAAATACTGTGAGAGAATTAACAAGCTCAACAGGACTGACATTTTTTACAGGCTAAAATGTTTTTTTTTTACATTGAAAAAATCAATTACAATATTTTTAATTAGGCCCGGCTGTTCTGAACTTTTCTCTTTCTGTGAGTCGACGAAGCATTGATAACATTAAAAGTAAGAAATTAATCATCTTCGTTTAATTAAGTGCAGTGATGAAAAACAAGTTTGATCCAGAGCTAGTAATAGCTGAACCCACTGGAAAATGTAATAAGCGCCCATCAGGGCTGTCTGAGCTCAAGAATTGTAAAACATATTAGATTTCACTTTTGAACATTCAGTGTAACTTGTATATTTTGTAGTTATGTTTTGCTCTGTACTGTTTGAGTGGTGTGAATGGATCCTAAGCACTGGTGAATGGTAACTACAGGTGAAATATAAACTTCTATATACAACTCTTGCAACTTTTGCCAATTGTTCCAGTGCATCTGGTTTCAGTTCTTTCTTGTTGCGTAGACTAAACTCTAGATTAATTAACCATTCTTTATACATTAAAGAGTGGTCAGTCTTCTAGATACATTTAAAACTTAATTGACCTAATCCTCAAAGCCACGCTCTGATGTGTTCCAATAATATTGCGAGTGCCAGATTTATTAATCAAAGAGGAATATAAAATGGGCTTCAGGAAGCATGGATGTTTTTATAGCATATCATGTGCCGTTAAACTGTCCCTACAATCCCTTCTAAAGTTTAGAAAAGTTAATTATAACAAGACCTCGTTGTTGAAATATTTTTATTTTAGCAACCAAACTGAATGCTTCATCACATGGATGGCTGTTCACATCGATGTTACGGTACGGTTAACTGCTAATTAATTTAATCAATCAATACTTGTCTGATGAGATTTTTACACGACGGTCTTCTGAGACAAAACTGCTGTCAACCTGTGTCCTGATTTTAATTCAGTAAATGTCTAAGAACATTTAAGAGGTCCAGAAAGAAACTTTAACTTTTTCGTTTAGGCTGCGGAGGTTGTACAGAAATATGGCTGAAGATTTCAACAGCAGTGGTAAATAATTGCATTCTATTATGGCGATATAAACAAGTTTCTTATGGTCCCTACTTCGTTAAATCATACTCCAGCAGCAATTTTTTACTTCTAAAATTTTCTACACTGTCGTTGTTTTGATAAAATGCTGTGTAAAGCAGGAGTACTCATTTTAACTTGACACTTGAGCAAGATTTCCTTTACCGGTGATCTTGTTCTACGTGGTCGGAAACCATGTTCCATATGGTATATTTCCCCTCCCACAGTGTCATAGATTAACCCTACTGTCCTGGACCCGGTTCAGTTGATGGACGGGAGAGTGCATATTCCTAGGTTCTCTGTAGTCACTATGTGGCCATGACCAGAGGGATAAACCATGCAGACTACAAATTTTAACAAAATATTGTAACATTCTTAAATATGAACTAAGTAATAAATTCTTTATATTTCAGTGCGGGAGAAAGTACTGTCTACACTAACGGTTGTGAGTTCTATCTGTTAAATCTCGAGTTTTAGGTAATTTTTTTCTTATTGTCAAAACTTGCAGTTTTTTACTTATGATGACTTGTTATTTGCTACTCTCGACTGTTGAATGACGACATTTAACCACCAAGATCGCTGATATTTGGTTGGCATCTAACTATTTGATTGTACATTTCAACATAAATTCAGATTGATAATTATTTTAGGTCTGAAACGGGGATATTAAAGCAACTGTTCAAATAAGCAGGTATGATTTTTTTATTGTAATGTTAAGAAATAATGATGATACACCCAGCTCTCTTGGAGTGATTCAATGACGACAAAACTTTCCCATAAATCCTGAACATAGTATCTCAAATCAATTATTATGTAATTTGCTTTTTGAAATTCACGGTATTATTTTAAGGAGATTGAGCAGCTTACAATGTTGATAGTCGTGCGTGAAATGCCTGGACTTTGTATGTGGTGATGCTTCTGGTAAGCTGAGGAACAAATCCCGGCTTATTGAATTGAAGGTTAGGGTTATAATTTTGAGGAGACTTACCTTTTCATTGATGATCTAGGATTCCCCTTCTATTTTATTAATAGACTAAACATCGATTCTGAAACTGATCCCTTTTTATATTATTTATTGGAGTGATTATGCGGTTTAACCTTGGATATTTTTACAGGAGTTTGGGCAGATTGAGAAACTTGTATTGCTGGTGAAGACTGAATTAGGAGATGTTTCAAAATTGTTCAGATTGTAGTGTCCCTGACTCTCTACCCAGCTTAGTTTAATGACGTGTAAGTTAATTTAGAATCTCTTTTCTTAATTCAAATGATGACTTTATCCCAATGAAGTTTCTAATGAAATATATTTTCCTGGTTTCTGAATATTTATGGAACCGTAAATTTAATAGAAACATTATAAATAAATTCATCCCGACATCTGTTTGCAGGCCGAAGATACAACACACTAACTTGAGCAACATTGACACGATCTTGGGTAATTAATAAAAATATTTTTGTGTAAATTGATCTTTTTTAAAATGATGTTGACGCACTCATAGTTTTTCAATGATGACCCTTAACTCATCACCCACATTTCTGATTTTGTTAATTACTGATACTTTTATTTTCTGTACACTACAGGCATTCAAGTGTTCTTTATTTAGATATTACTGCACATCTCCTGTTCTACTGGAAGTTACTTAATAACAGGTAATTATTGATCTCTACACCAGTTTTTATTATTTTTAATGATGCTAAAACTTAGGACACCTAATTATACAGGATGATTTTTTAAAAAGGCTACTGCCCAGTGGTCCTGACATTATTAAAAAATTATTAGGTTATATTGTAATTTTTCTTCATTTATCGTTTTCTCTTGCAGAATTGTTAACCTGAACCTGAAGATTTTCTACAGACCTTCATATTATCAGTTTAATAGCATTATTTGTAAGATTTTTTGTATTCTCAAATTTGCGCATGTGGATAAATCAATTTTATTGTTTAAAAGTGAAGTTTATCCACAGTCGCTAGAAAAATACGTCCTGTGTGGTCTGGTTATCCTCTACATGGGTAACTGGAGTTGCAAGGTTCTGACATTGTCGTATTATCTAAGCTTCACAAATTTGTTCTTCAGTGGTTCAGATTTGTTCCTGGATCCGGATCGGTAAAACGTTGGCCCATGGTTCCATATCTTAAGGGGGAAAATATCTTTTCTGCAAATTTTTAACTGTTTATAAAACAAAGATAATCTAAGTCTGCCAACCAGTGCTTAGGATCCGTAACTGGATCCGTTGGATCCGTAAGATTTTGGCTACCTGGATTCGGATCCGCTAAAATATGCGGATCCACGGATCCGGATCTAAGGGGCAAAATATCAACCAAAACCTGCAAAAAAAAATATTAAGTTCATATTTTGGTTTTGGAGGAAAAAGTTTTTTTTGCAGTTTCGGGTTTGATCCGTTTCCGTGGATTCGCATATTTTTGCGGATCCGGGTCTTAAGTACTGCTTATTCGCATAATAATGATGCAGATTCCTAGCACTGAATTGTTCATAACTGACGAATAATGTGTTAAAGCATACTGTTTGTTTCAGGGCATGTCGAATTGCGTGTGGAAATTTCTGAAATATTCTGCTTTGTCCACGGTGAGTTTTTAACAATATCAAGTTTTATTTTTACATGATGGTTGTAATTTGCGTCTGAAAGTTGTCAGTACCCCACCTGCCAGTGGATAGAGGGCTGTCAAACTTCTGTTTAAAACTTTTTTCTGATCTTAACGTTCTTCTAAAAATAATCTTCCATCTGCTTCTAAAATTCATTTTAATTTTTATTTAAGACTGGATAGTGTTGACTGGTTATACAAGGAATGATCTAGCTGCAGTGGGTTTTAAAGGTAAAAGTAACCAAAAATATAAATTACCCTCTGTTCTTGGCATTATGTGACCTATGTTGCACGATGAATATTAAAAGAGTAATAATATAAGTTAATTTATGCCTTCGGTGTTCAGCTTATCATTGGCTGAATCCCATCCTCTAAAATTAAGACAAAATTTGTTTGTTTAAATTTGTCTGTTGATAAAATAAATTATAAATTTTAATTATTAATTTGTGTAAGTTTCAGGATCCCTGTCAACATTTTAGTAAAATACGATGATAGAATGTAAGTCGCAGGTAATATTAGATAAAAATACTTTGAATTAAAATATTTATTTCGTATCCTAAACTGATGACTGCATAGTTCAACTGATCATACTGATGACATACTGTAAATTAGTCTTTCGCTCCTATCTGATACATTTAAATCGTAAATTTATGATTATTTCAAATACTTCAATCTTAAGTTAAAATATTTCAGGATTGGTGGATTTTGAGAAGGGGACTGGTTCTGTATTTAAATAGCATGTGTGAAGGCATCTAGGTTATCGCATTGATTTTGGTTTACGAACTTTGGGAGAAAATCTTCAGCTGCTCCTCCGCTATGCAGTACAAGTCTTATATTTCACTTACAATTTATTTCATTCAAGAAGTATCTTTTGTTTTGTTTCTATTTAGACAATGTTTAAGAAAATTATAAGAGTTTATTTTTATTGGTTGCCTCTCGAAAGACTTAAATATCAAATTATTTTTTTTTTTTTGCATAGCGCAGGTTTATGGCGGCTGAGGGTTACTTATCACCTGGGCCACAGACCATGTTCTTAAAAGTTCGACAATTTTATACTTAAGTTAAGTTGTAAAATAAATTTTTTTACAAAAAAAATTGTTCTTCTGTAACTGGAGAATTAGAGAGTAAAATGTTGGAATCTCGAGTCTTAGAGATGTTCATGTTAGTTTTCTCGGTGGTCTTAAATTATCAAATCTAGTCTTCAATCTGGAGAATATGAATTCTCTATTAAACCATAAAATGGCATTGTTGTAAATTAACCATCCTAGTCGTTTATTTCTTCGGAATAGATTAATATACAGGATAATTTTGGAGAAAATTACAGTGAAATTTAATTGCATTTGCATTGCATTTTTAAATTGAAACTATCGTAACTGTATGCTCAAAGACAAATCAAGATTATTTTTTTATCTCTTTGTGATTGAAGACTAGAGGATTAGATTTGTCATGGTTGATCAGAGCTGATAACTTTAGAATGGTGGATATCGGGATTAAGGCGTAATCCACTCTTTTTCTTAATCTGAAGATTAAATATTGCTCGTTCTCCACTCATTTTTAATCTCCAGATTAATTATCCGATCAGGATTGAGGATATCCCATTCTAAAGTTTTCAACTCAGATTAAGTAATTAATAAAATAGTTATCAGTGTTGGAAATTAATACAAGTACTGATTTAGTCTTTAATAAGTTCAACTGTATGTTCAAAGATAAACCAAGATTATTCTTTTATCTCTTTGTGATTGAAGACTAGAGGATAAGATATGTCATGGTTGATCAGATTAAGTAATTAACAAAATATGTTACCAGTGTTGGAAACTAATTAAAGAAGTGATTTAGTCTATAATATTGATGTATTAACTCTAAATGTCCTTGAAGCTAGCATCTGAGCTGCAAACACTGGAACGTATTTGATCTATAAATGGCGAAGAGATTTAATGAAAATTGGTCTGTCTAGCGTTTCCTCATTAATTATGGAAATTAATAAGAGTCTTCATTGGTTTGAATGTGTGGGATTCTTAAGCTATGGTTCTTTTTTCTCGAATCATGTAAACGAAACTTCTCAACCTTTAGTGCTTATGTTCCAGTGTTAATTGATACCCTGTCTTAAAATGCTTAATAACACACTTCTGGGACTTCCTTGACAAATAATGCGATAATAACTCCTGATATCTTTAAAAAATAATATACATTGAATAAGAAGAAATTTTTATTAGAACTCTGGACAGTAACGGTGATCGCTATCTTATCTGACTCCTGACTGTTAGTTTGATGAACTTTCGGTATGCACTTTAGTGTCCACCTTATTGAGCATCTAAATATCTGAGTTGGCGATGTAGTCGCATGTCGAAAACTGCTGGGCACGTTCCGACTTTTTGAAATTGTTCCATTCCCTATTAGAACGAGGGTTCCAGCCATCTTCCGTTTTTGGTGTTCTGAGTCAGAGAATGGTCCATCCCGTTGCGTTCTTCGTGTTACTAAAGTTGACAACTATGTAATTTTCTTAGCAGTCTCATCATACACTCCCTCTTAATTACTCTGGTGTATACCTCCAAAGGAGAACTAGAGATGGGAGCGGTTTTTAAATAAAAAAATTATCCATAATTTCAAAGGATGTATTACATAAATGAAATCAAACAATGTTTACACAAAAGGCAGTATTTATTAAGGATCTTAGTGCAGCTGCTCAGTAATGTCTTGACAACTGTACATTTCTTGTGAGACATTTTGCATACTTAATTAATTCAATTTGAACTTGGCATATTTTAGTTTTTCTTGTAAAGCAAAGTTTAATATTTTAGATTTAGTAATTGATGGAAACTCGAATAGATCCTACGGTTGGTCAGGATTATTGCCTGTGTGGCTAGATTATTGTCGGTGCGGTTAAATTATTGTCGGTGCGGTTAAATTATTGCCTGTGCGGCTAAATTATTGCCTGTGTGGCTAGATTATTGCCTGTGTGGCTAGATTATTGCCTTGTGGCTGATTTGTCTTGGGGTTGAATTATTGCCTGGGTGGCTATATTATTGTCTGTGTGGCTAGATTATTGCTTGTGTGGCTATATTATTACCTGTGTGGCTAGATTATTGCCTTGGGGCTGATTTATTGCCTGGGTGGCTATATTATTGTCTGTGGCTATATTATTACCTGTGCGGCTAGATTATTGCCTGTTTGGCTAGGTTATCGTTGGTGTGACTATGTTTATTGCCTCTATGGCTAGCTTATTGCACGTGTGGCTACATTATTGCCTGTGTGCCTAGATTATTGGATGTTTAAGAGAATATTGCCTTTGTGGTTAGATTATTGCCTGTGTGACTATATTTATTGCCTGTGTGACTAGATTCTTGCCTGTGTTACAAGATTATTGCCTGTGAGGCTAGATTATTGAATGTGAATAGTTGTATTGCCTGTGAAAGCTGATCCGTGTCTTAGCAAAAGGTTTAATAATTCACTTTAAAGGAGATCCTTCTCGCTTATTTGAGCTGCTTTGTTTCACGTGAAAAAATTGAAATCTATATTAAGTGAGTGGGTGTGGGAATCCAAAGATGTTTGTGAAAAGATTTGTTTCAAACCTAAATGTGATAATCGGCTCACTGTTCCAACTATTACTGTCGCCCAGGAGTTAAAATGTGGACTGGTTATGGACATGAGTAGACTTGTATTAAAGTATATGATCATGCATAGTTGTAAGTTGCAAGCTTTGACTATTTCTGAGCCTTGGTAATAATAGTGGATATGTTCTAAACTATAGTATAGATTTATTTTGACCTCCATGTTCCATCACATGAAACTGTTTTCCTAATTTGGATTTGCATTAGAAAAAGACGAAAGAATTTGCAATATTAGCAATTTAAGGTTTAACAATTTGGAGATGTCTACGCAGTTTATTGTATAACTAATCTTTTAAAAACAGTGCAGGTTTATAGGCTTTCTCAAGAGATTCTAGTTTCAATTTTCAATTATGTGAATTGTTTACTCCAGGTTTATAAGATTCAAAAATATGTTTACTTCAAGTTTATAAGATTCAAGAATATGTTTATCTAACTTAACCTTACTCCAGGTTTATTCAAGAATATGTTTACATCAGGTTTATAAGATTTAAGAATATGTTTAAATCAGGTTTATAAGATTCAAGAATATGTTTACTTCAGGTTTATAAGATTCAAGAATATGTTTACTTCAGGTTTATAAGATTCAAGAATATGTTTACTACAGGTTTATAAGAATTAAGAATATGTTTACTTCAGGCTTATAAGATTCAAAATTATGTTTACATCCGGTTTATAGGATTCTAGAACATGTTTACTTTAGGTATATAAGATTCAAGAATTTGTTTACTAAAGTTTAAAAGATTCAAGATTATGTCTATTCCTAGTTTCAAATAAATGTTTATTCAAGGCTATGAGATTTAACAATATGTCTGCTGTAGGTTTATAAGTTATATTAAAACTGTTTTCTTACAGGTTTTTAAGAATAAGAATATGTCTACAAAAAAATGTACAAGATTCAAGATTTTTTAGTTAGGTTTAAGTTTCAGGAAATACTTCAAGTAAATGAGTTTCCAGAATAAGCTTACTCCAGTCATATGAAATTCAAGAAAGGGTTTGCTCCAAGGGTGCATAGGAAACCGATCTATAATCCTTTTGATCTAAAGGCAATCTGATCTAAGTGGACTTAGATCTAAAAAAAGTTTTAGACCAAATTCCAATTCTTTCGGGAAAATTGTGGAATTTGATCTAAAATTTGGATTTTATATATTTTGAGTCAAAAATGTCATTTAAAAATGTTTATTTTTGAAAAGCAAATATTTTAGATCCAATTCTACATATTACAGATAAAATTCCCAAATTTTGTGCAGAAATTATATTGGAAGTACAGAATTCTGTATTTAAAAATAGTAGAATTAGGTCTAATAAATGTAAAATCTGATCTAAAATATGAAGAATTCGATCTAAAAAATGTAAAATCTGATCTAAAATATGAAGAATTCGATCTAAAAAATGTAAAATCTGATCTAAAATAGTAGAATTAGGTCTAATAAATGTAAAATCTGATCCAAAATATGAAGAATTCGATCTAAAAAATGTATAATTTGATCTAAAATATGAAGATCCTGAACCCATGAACCCAACTCTTTCACAATTAAGGTGTCAACCTTACACATTTCTTAACTTTTAAATTTAATATTTTTAATCAAATTATAAATTTTTAGATTAAAGTCTACATTATTTAGATCAAAGTAAACACTTTTTAGATCAAATTCCATATTTTAAGCAAATAAAGTTTAGGATTTGAAGCGTAATGGTTATCTGAAATGTATATTTTTTGAAAAAAAATTTTTAGATCACATTCAACATATTTTAGATCCAATTACACATATCTTATTGTTGAACAAAATCAATTTAAACTCCCCAGAGCCTTTGAAAGTCGTCTTTACCAGGTTTGCCAAGGATTTATTTCTCTGACGGAGACATACACACCAAACCCCCCCGACCCTGAAACTCAATTGTGTACCAAAACCGCTCATGTTAAAGTAAAATAAGTTAAAATATCAAGTGAAAACAATCTTTCTTCTTTTTTTTAAACAAGCAATTATTTTCAGAAAACAATTATGTTTTAGTCACAAATCAATCACCTCTCTATTTCGAGTGTGTTAAGACCTAATAGTAAGTTACCCTTTCAAATACAATCATAATATTAGCAACGAACAATGTTCGGAACTTTTTTTTCAATAGTATCAACTTATCAGTTTATAAATATTTACTCCGCTCATTCAACAACCTTAAACTGTATCCTTACCATTTGTGTTTCTTAAAGTTGATCGTTAGCCATTTTTTTTATTAAAACAAATACTCGCATTTTGTAACTCCAGAAACATTGTAATTAAATCATCCTTGTTTCAGGTTTGAAATATATTTTGCGACTAACAGTTTTAACACATCGGAGAGAGTCCTAGAGAAGCTTAATCACCTTGTGTATGCCTTTACACTTATAGATCAAAATCACAACTTTGGAAGAAGAAATTTAACGAAAATCTTCAATTGACAAATATATAAAAATGAACAGTGAGCTCGAAAAAAAATATTTTAGATCAGATTTCACATTTTTTAGATCAAATTCCAAAAATTTTCAGAAAAATGCGGACTGAAATCTAAAAAAATATTTAGATCAATTTCCACGTTTTTTAGATTAAATTCTCAGATCAGATTAGATTAGATCAGATTACTCTTAGATGAAATTCCTTTTAGATCAAGAGGTTCATAGATTAGTTTCCCGAACAGGGCTCCAAGATTACGAGATTCAAGAAAATGTTTTCTCCAGACTTCTAAGATTCAAGAATAATTACTCTGGGTTAAAAGATTCAAGAAAATGGTCAAGTCATGTTATCACTGATGAGCTTCATGAAAGGTTTCCCCAGGCTCTGGATTTACAATAAAATACTTCCAGGTTGATGAGATTAACTATGTTAACTCCTTGTTACAAGACTCAAGAAAATTTGTACTCCAGATTAACGGGTTTGAACTTTATAGGTTTCAAGAATATAGTTACTCTTGAAGTATGGGATTCAATAAAATGTTTACTTCAGCTTGAAAAGATTCAAGAGATTGGTTCTTTCAGGTAATGAGATTTAAGAATGAGTAATATTTACTACAGGCATCAGATTTTCACAGGACAAAAAGTATTTACGAGTTAAAAGATTCTATCAGCATGAGTTTACCTCTCTTGCTGAAAGAAATAGGGATGCATGATATGCTGCACACCAACCAACCACGTTCACAACCTGGACGTGGACCTGAACAACAGCAATGACCAGCGTACCACTCCAACCAACTCCAACCAGCCTCAACCACCTACGAACCACGTCATCCTGCACCTTGCCTCTCATTAAAACTCACTAATCAGGTTCAATTCATCCAATCACTGGCAGCCCTCAACACTCTGTACATCAAGAACCTGGGAACCAATAACGCCACCCATCTCCCCGCCATGAACCTCCTCTAGCCCAAATTTCCTCCTAATTCAATCTAATCTGACCTACATCTGACTTAAGGGCACTGGTCAGGTTATGACCAGTTAGACTAGTTTGGTAATCCAACCACACAAGACCTAATTTAACTAACTTACAACTGCTTTTTTTTACTCTACAGAGGCTTGGTCCGTCAACATTACCCAATTTCAAATTAAGAGTCAAGTTATGATGCAGTTAGGACCAGTTAGGTAACGCAACCTAGTCCAACCTTACCTAACCTAATCTGACGTAAGAGAACTAATCAGGTTAAGACCAGTTAGGTAACCCAACCTAACCTGACCTAACCTGGCCTAAACCGACTGCTCATGTTTCGACCAGTTAGGTAATCCAACGTAACCTGACCAATCTTGACACCAAATCCAACCTAAGTGGATTGGTCAGATTAAGATCAGTATGAGAACAGTTAGGTCCCAACCTAACCTAACCTATGGGGATTGGTCATGCTTCGACCAGTTCGGTAATCTAAGATAACCTGACCAAATCCAACCTAAGTGGACTGGTCAAGTTAAGACCAGTATGAGACCAGTTAAGTAACCCGACCTAAGAGGATTGGTCATGTTTCGACCGGTTAGGCAATCTACCATAACCAGACAAATCATAACCAAATCCAACCTTAGTGGACTGGTGAGGTTAAGACCAGACCTAATTATATCAATTATCTAACCTAACCTGACCAATGACAAATCATGACCAAATTAAACCTGAGTGGGCTGGTCAGGTTAAGGCCAATATGAGACCAGTTAAGTAACCCGACCTAACCTGACCTTTCTCAACCTAAGGGGACTGGTCATGTACGGACCAGTTAGGTAATCCGACCCAACCTAACCTAACCTAACCCGACCTAAGGGGACTGGTCATGTTCTAACCAGTTAGGTTTAGGAACGATGGTATCGTTCTTGATAGTTCCGTTCGTTCTTGTGAAAGAACGATTGTTCCCCAGGAATGATGCCCAGCCCTACTGATGGAAGATCGTAAAACAGGAAAATTACAGTATACAAACGTACATAGTAAACTTGTCCGTCTTCAATTTTCATCTTGCAAAGACAATATGGATACATCTTTCCAGACGTTTAACCTCATTTACCGTTTTCTTAAAATAAACTCTAGCAGGCTAATAATATTATGGCCAGGCGAGCAACTAGACATTTTGTTTGAGGGGGGCAAGATGAAAAAAAATGTTGCCCCCCCCCCTAAACATTTTAGGGGGGGGGGGCATAAAAATGTGTATTATACTCAAACAATAAAAAATACTAACGTTACCAACCGGATATTCAGTAAGTCAACACATCTGATATGAAATAAAAAAGAAATCTATTCTGAGATGGGAACTTTTGAATGGGATATCCTTAATCCTGATCGGATAATTAATCTGGAGATTAAAAATGAGTGGAGAACAAGCAATATTTAATCTGCAGATTAAGAAAAAGAGTGGATTAAGCCTTAATCCCGATATCCACCATTCTAAGTTTTCAGCTCAGGTTAATATAAATCACAACATTAATTAATTTACAATTTACATAAATATAAATTTATCATTCCTCCATAAATCAAATATGTACATTGTACTCAGACACTGACAAGAAAAGCATCATTAAAAAATTATGACTTTAAATGAAAATATTTTTTTAATATGACACATCACACAATATTTGCGGTAAACATGTAGGATTAATTTAATAGTTGTACTGTAGTATTAAAGCTTTATTAAAATAAGTGGCAGAACTTAAAGTGAAAATATCTAGAAATACTTAATAAACCCCCTTTTCCCCTTCCCAGGAATTCATGAATCGCTAAATTTGCCAAGGGTGGACTTCTTGCCTTTTTAAGGGAGGGGCTTGCCCCCCACTTAACAGGCTAGGAGGGGCCTTGCCCCTACCTCCAGTTGCGCGCCTGATTATGGCTTTTTAAATCAGGTATGAATATCGAATTTGTTACTGAATTCCCATGTTTAATGGGACACCCTGTATTTACATCAAGGGCCTTTTAACAATAATTAAAATGAAAAGATGCTAACCTTCCACCTTTATTTCTCCGTTGCTTTCTTTTTCTAGCTTTCTATTCCTCAATTAAACACCATCTTTGATTTAATCATAACATAAATTATATAGCTCTATAAATGAATACCGGTTAATTAATATTCAGTTTTACATTTAAATTATTTGATTGCATGAATAATATTTAAGGCGGTCTAATATAAAAAGATTGAACTGAAGATGCAGAAATATTTTTGATTTTCAAATGAAAAGGTAAAATATAACCTCAAGGAAAAATGTATTGCTTTGGTCTTCTGTAGCCCGGGCCGAGCACAGAGAAAAGAAGGAGGGGGGAGGAGTAGGAGGGGGGGGGGGCCTCGCTGCAGCCTCGGTTACCCGCGACACTAGCTCCCCTGGCGGGAGGAAGGATTAGTACACTCGGGCCAACCTCCGCCAAAACCTACTCTACGGATGGGGACAAAATAGATTCATTTATACAAGGTATTTATAGCCTTTTCGGCTTCAAACTGCTTTGAAAAGTCAACGAAGTCAGTTGCTACAGTCTACTTGTAATAAAAATGGTTTGAAAATGTAGAATTCAGGAATTATAAATGTGAATTGTGTGTGCATGTGTTGGGTAGGAGGGAGGAGGGGAGGGAGGCAGGGTGGTTGCTTCCAGCCGGGGAAAGAGGAAAGGAGAAAGAGAAGAGTATATAGAGAGGAAGAGAGGTGGAGTTTAGAACAAGAAAGATTTACGAATGATTCCATGTAAAATGTTTGTGAATAGATTTAAATGGATTCCTCTATGCAGATGGGTTGAATAAAGTGCTGTACAAAAAGGTATTACGAATTTTGCAGTACTGTTTAACAGATGTCGAAGTAAACATGTACGATGTACATGTAATAATGAACAGATAGTCATCTTTTACAGTAGTAAGTAAAACTGCTGTAGATATTGGTACATTAGCAGAGTACGTGTAACTGTATGGATATATACTCGTTAATGTATATATATATTTCATTATGGTGAAATAAAATATTAAACAAAAAAGTACGTTCAATGGCGAAAAATAGATGTACGACAATATACATTTATTTCATGTTATATATGCTGTGGTATTCGCGTTTTGTACAAATTTGGCAATCTTTTTCATTTTTTCAGTAGGTCCGTACTTTTACAAAAGATTATCAATGATAGTTTAGTTTCAAATAACTAAATCAAATTAATGAACGGTTGAACCGAAACATAAAATGAAAAAGTGTGATTTTAGATAATCCATGCATAATTAGGTACTAAATGGGCCACTGGTGGAAAATATATTGTGTTGTTGATCTAGGAGTTCAAAAGAAGAAGTAATTTCTTTCTTGGATCGAGATATAGTTATATCCTAAAAAACAAAACTCTGGGGTGATTTATCTAACATTTTTATTCTCCTTAAAGGGACTGGTGAGCATAATTTCAAGGGACCCTATACATGCAAAGATAACAATACCAGATCTACGATGATACCTTTGAACATTTATCGGATCAATACTGTGAAAAATATTGTCTTTAATTTTGATATAGTTCTTACATGTTTCCCTGCAGTAGAAGTAGGCAAATCACTTTTGTTGAGAAACGTAAACCATCATTTGAAAATAATCAGTTTTTAAAATTATAAACGTTGATATCTAATAGCATTGAACAGACAAAGCTTAAGGTTAAAAGCGATTTTACGGAAACCGTTGTAAATCGGACATAGCTATCTTTGCATGAAGGTTTATCTGAAACTATGTTTATATTTAAAATAGATTTGTTTGGGTGGAAAAGTGTCCCATTTTTATGGATTTTTAGTAGAGTACAATAGTAAACAGGCGACTATATATTTTACAAATTTTAATTTTAATTAATATTAATATTCGGTTACGCGAAAAAAAGAAAAATTAGAAAATGAAGTTAGCCCATGAAAAGACTAAACCCAGCTCCATGAACTGTTCACATCTTCTCTGTAGAAAATATTGATTTAAGCAAGGTTATAATGCAAGGAAAGTTAATTGCAGTTGCGTATTCTCTGCGTCCAGATTGAAACCAGTTCTCTCTGGGCGAAATTTGTAAGCAAGATTAGATACATCAGTGTTCGTTTAGTATTCGGGGAGGATAAAACCATTGAATTTTGAAAATTTTGATAATTCACATAATAGTTTCCTATGACCAGAATATTTAATTGATCTTTTATGTGAAATTTGGATCCCATGCCAGGCTGTAACATCCATCTTGTGTTTACATTACCGCCCAGAGACAGTACACTTCAGAACAAAAGATGCGTACACCTCTGAAATAACTTTCCTTGCATTAGTACCTTGGATTTAAGTATAGGAGTGCAGTTAATAGATAATAGATAACCAACATGGTGTATGATAACATGTGTTGATTATATTAATATATTGATAAATTATATGTATTATATTTATATTGTAATATACGGTGTTGCCAAGGTTACTTGTAGTTAATCCCTCCGTTAAATTCTTAGTTTAGGTAAAGCCAAAAAATATTGTCCAAAAGTTTGTAATTTTTGTAAAATTTTGAAAATGCGCGAAAAATATTACAATCCGCAATTTTTTTGTATTGTTCAAAGAGAAGATAGGCGAGAAGCAACCTAAAAGCCTAGTTGCATTATATGTATTTACATTTATACCAGCTAAACTATACTGGGTTATCCAGTTTCAGTTTATTTATTATATTGTATTGCTTAAAATGCAAAATTTGTTTGAATTATACGTATTCTATTCAAAGTACATATCCTTTCGAATAAACAGCGTTGAGATAAACAAATTTACAATTTTTGTGAACATTTGAGTTTAGCCTAGTTTTCATTTATTAAAACATATGGTTGGAAAATCATGAACCTTTCTTGTTTTTCATTTCTTTGGTTTGCATGGTCTGGTATTTTTGAATTTTACCTTAATTTACAACCTTGATTTTACTCCCTTGGATTGCAGATAGTTTTCATAGTTTCCAAGCAAAGCTGAGTTACCGAGCTAGTGTGCAATGAAGACAGACCACATTTTTAAAAGCTCAGAATTTCACACATTCTTTGTCATTTATCAACCATACGAGATCGAAAACAATTTTTAAGCAATCTCTTAATTCCCATGTTTATTGGGACACCCTGTACTATTTATATATATCCTGTATCGTATAGCAAGTATCATGTATAAATAAACAAAGCGAATGTCCATATTGTTTACATTCTTGTTTACTTTTGTTAGTTTACTGCACACTTAACACTATGTACACAGATAAGAGGATTACTTATGATCAAAGACTACACAGACTGCTCATACACTCTACCTGGATAGGCTAGGAGCAGGCCTATAGTGTCCCGGCACGCCATGCTACGGTTCCATGTAATGTTTTAATGTTTTTTGACTGACATCTTGTTGCATTCAGGGGTTAAGTTTTACAACTTTTAAAGAAATACTCCAATTTTAAACATAAAACATAACGTTTATTAATATTGTCTATTTTTAAAGATTTTGAATTTCCTATTCAAAGGATCCTTAAATACCCCTGAATACAGATGTCTCCTGATTGGTCGTGTACAGTACTTGTACACAATAGAACTTGGTGTGAAAAATATCGCATAATTTAGCTTAAAATCGATCTCTGTAACTCTCTTATCTCTGCTTATGATATATAAATATATATTTTATAATTATATTTTGGTACATTGCGGCAGTAAACATCAAAAATATCTCTGAGATAAAATACTTTTACTGATTTTAATTTGTATCCAATAAAATAACACAAAAATAACTCTATGCTTTCAATTTTTTTTTGGCCTCAGGTGGCCGAATTTAAAGAATTGGAGCCGCGGCTTAAATTTGAGACGCGGCTCAAATATGGTTGCACTTACAATTGTATTCAATGTTTCAAGATTTAAGCCTGCTCTCAATTGAAACCGGTTTTGGCTTAAATTCATTAAATTCCGACTCTGACTTTTTAACGGTTTATGGGTGAGATACAAGATTCAACATGGTATTTATTGTGGTTTCTCCAAAAAGTGTGTTTGCGCATTTCTACTGCGAAAAAAACTATAAAGAAATCATGGATACCAGATACTTTTCAATTTAGAACTATGATCATATCTTCCATATTTGTGACCAGGGTGCCATTGTGAATACACCTCTTAAACTTGAGACTCACTTGAAATTACAACAACAGTATGTGATTTCTTTATTAAAAAGAAGCAGAAAACAATCATTTCATTAATGTGTTTAGTCAACACTAATGTGATTTTGTTGATTTTTTATTGAAACGTAATTAAGAAAAAAAAACATGGCATGGTACAAATAACTGTGTCTATTGTAGAATGTAGAAAATAGATAGATTATTGGAAATTTAGGCAAATAAATCAAAAATCTAGTTTTCAAAGAAAATCAGGGAGGAAAACACAGGAAAAAATTAAGTACAAGAAAGATTATAAAGTTACTAATAAGCGTCATTTTCCTTCGTAATTTTCGTTTTTTAAACTTAATTTTTATTTGCTTTTCACCGTTTCATCGGAATCAGTATTGAAAAGTATATTTCAATATTAATTGTTATCGTGTAGAGTGTAGAGTGTAGACTAATCTAACTTCTGAAAACTGAATTTTGATTTGATTTAAAATTACGCGTACAGTCCCTTTAATCTATAAATTACGCGTACAGTCCCTTTAATCTATAAAATAATTGTTATAGGAAGGCGGGCAGCAGCAAGCTGGACTGTGGTGAGCTCCCAGCTACTTACTCAACCCTCCCCCATGGACAAAACATAATTAAAGTAAATCTTGTGTTTACATTACCGCCCAGAGACAGTACACTGCAGTGCAAAAGATGCTTACACCTCTGAAATAACTTTCATCATGCATTATAACCTTGAGAAATGTCATCTTATGCGCAATCTATCT